ATATGTGCCATAAATTATAGCCCTGATTCTTACTGTGTACTATTTGTTTACACTGAAAAAATAATTAACTATTCCGTTAAAAGTTGCGAAAAAAACATTGTGTGCCTACTCTTGTTAGCAAGGTAGATTATTAAAGTAACCTCTAGTTTTTTATTTTTACCTTTTATTTTTTTCTTTGCTTATTAATTTTTAAGAAAAAAATTGATATGTTTATAGAAATTTAAAATTAATAATTTATTTAAAATTACTTTTTATATGATTATCACAATATCAAATTAGCTATAAAGTTAAAAAAGTGTTGGCAAAACATTGTTTTCATATTATTATTTTTATTATTATTATTTGCATTTTGACCCTTTTTATCCTTTGCTTACTGATTTATTTATTTTTCAAATTTAATTCTGATGTATTTATAGAAATTTAGAATTGATAATTTATTTAATTTATCACAATATTAATTAAATTAATTATAAAGCTAAATGGTTAAATTAATTATAAAACTAAATGGTGTGGAAGAAACATTGTTTCCCCACACTTATTAGCATTCTGAATTGCAATAGCAATCCTAGTGTTTGTTTGTTTTTTGTATTTTGACCCTTTTTTTTCTTTGCTTATTTATTTTTTTTTAATTTAATCCTTATATATATCTTTATAAGGATTTAGATTGATAATTTATTTTTATTTTTATTTTTATAAGGTTATTGTGATATCAAAAATATTTCACCACACTCATTCGCGTTGTGGATTACAATAGTAATCCACAATATTATTATTATTATTATTTTGCATTTTCACCCTTTTTATTTACTTTTTTTAATTTAATCCTTATATAATGTGTTTATAGAGATTTATAATTAATAATTTATTTTTTATATAGTTATCACGAACTCAAAAAAATACCTAATCATCAGGTTGATATCATAAAAATATGCTAATATCATGGTATGATCTATTTAAAAAAATAAATAAATAAAAGATGAAAACATTGTATCCCTACACCAATTTTCACTCTGGATTACAATAGTAATCCATAATGTTGTTATATTTGTTTTTGCATTTTGACTCCTTTTTATTTTTATTTATTGATTTTTTTCTCATTTAGTCCTTATATAATATGTTTATAGGGATTTAGAGTTGATAATTTATTTTAATTTTTCTTTTAAATGGTTATCGCGATATCAAGAAAATATATTAGTATTGGGTTGATCTTAAAAAAATATCTTAGCATCGTAGTATAGTCTATTTTAAAAAAAAAATAGTTAAATAAAAAATGATTTTAAAAAACTAGGTTATTAAAATTTGGGGAGTTAATGACCCGGTTTGCGAGTTTAGCTAAATAACCTTGGTTGTCTCGGTTCATAGGTTTAACTATAGACTTTTTTATAATTGAATTTGATTATATGATCATTTATTTTTATTTTTATCATATAATTTAAAAATTAGTTAAAAAAAACCTTCTTATTAAATTTTAGAAAGTTCATCAATCTATTGACTGGTTTGGCGAGTTTAACTTTGATTTTTTTATTTCATCATTTAATATTAGATTATTAAAATTTAAGTTTTATATTTTTGTTTTTTTTCATGAGATTATCATAATCTAAAAGAAAATCTCAATATTGGTTTGATATTTGATTTTATAATCGTCTATTTTTGTTATCATATAATTAAATAATTAATAATTTAAAAAAAATATTAATCTCAATAGAGTTCATTACCTGGTTTGTAGATTTAATATATTAACTCGAATTATCTAATTTTTTAAATTTAGATGTTTACCCGACTTGTAATAAAATGCTCGTGAATGTACTAGTTAAACAACAAAAACCCTGTGGTTTCAATGACTAATCAGCAGAGCATCGTGTTGGAATTGTTCCATTCATGTTGTTGCCTTGTTAGGCATTCAGGAGCTGAAAAGTAGATGTGAAGGTTGCATTACTGTATCATCTTACAAACTAATAGATGTACTCATGAACAGGTGGAACATTTGCACTCTATTCGTTGTTATGCCGGTATGCAAAGGTGAGCTTAATTCCAAATGACCAGCCAGAGGACAGTCAACTATCTAACTACAAGCTTGACACGCCATCTAGTCAGTTGAGACGGGCACAAGTGATTAAAGAGAAGATGGAAAGTAGTAAAACCATTAAAATCATACTTTTCCTAGTAACCATTCTGGGAACTTCTATGGTCATTGGAGATGGCGTCCTAACTCCAAGCATATCAGGTTTGTGCGCAGACAACTATATATATATAATTTCGGATAAGTGTTTCCCCGGAGAAATCCCGAATAATTGTGATTAAATGTTCTTTCGCAGTTCTTTCAGCAGTGAGTGGGATCAAGTCCCTTGGTGAAGGTACGTACTAGAATGCATGATCTTCACTACTATGTTTTTCAAATACTTGCATATCGATGGAGCTAGAATACATGGATTTTTTTAGGAGGGAAATACACATATTTGATACTTGAAACACATTGGTGCTAGTTACCCACCGCTCTCACCACACGGCTAATTATGATCCACCTCTTTCAGTGACATTGCGTTTGTTTAATTATCCAGATACCGTTGTGGGTGTTTCAATTGCAATCTTGATTGTCCTATTCACTCTTCAGCGGTTGGGCACCGATAAAGTGGGCTTCGCTTTCGCCCCAGTTATCTTCTTGTGGTTTTCATTCATTGGTGGAATCGGTCTTTTCAACTTGTTCAAGTATGATCTTGGTGTATTACGTGCCTTCAATCCAAAATATATAATCGATTACTTCAAAAGAAATGGCAAGCAAGGATGGATTTCACTTGGTGGGGTAGTTCTATGCATTACAGGTGATCGGTCTGGTTATGAAGTTCTCTCTTCTTTCTTTTTCTTTTCCTCTTTTTTCCTTGTAAATTTTCTTCTCTAACGTAGTAGGTTCATGACAGGGACTGAAGCTATGTTTGCTGATCTCGGTCACTTTAGCGTCAGGGCAATTCAAGTGAGTAGATACATAAGCATTATTTAATTTCTAATTTTCTTTCAGCTCTTAGCAGTTTTAGCAATGGAAACCTGCTTAGGAATCCGAAAATCGAACATGAGAGAACACGATCCATTGAATTACTGAGCATGTCCTTGGGCTACGATTCATGGTTTATAATATAGCTTTAATTATGACTACTAGACTAATATAAATTTGTGATATAACCTATTGCCAGAATCCCATTATTCTGCCAATTTAGGTTGAAAACACTAAAAAACACAAATAGTTAACTATTTCAATAAGGATTCTAAACACAAATCATTTTTAATTTAAAAAACCTTTTACGATTAGAATCCTATACATATCATTACAGATGACAAATCTTAGGTGCTTCTATTCGCAGATTAGTTTCTCCAGTGTAGTGTTTCCTGCATTACTAGCTGCATATGCTGGGCAAGCAGCATACCTTTCCAAATTCCCGAATGACGTGTCTGATACCTTCTACAAGTCTGTGCCAGGTAAAAACCAAGTGGCCGGAAAAACATCTGCAATGAACCATCTTGATTTTTTTCTTCGTTATGGATGAAGTACTTTCTTTGGTCATATTTACTGCTGTTGAATAATGAAAGCATAAATTCCTAGTAGAGTAATCACTTTCCATTGGCGTGCAGATCCATTATATTGGCCAATGTTTGTTGTTGCTGTTGCTGCTGCAATTATTGCTAGCCAAGCCATGATTTCAGGAGCATTTTCAATCGTTGCTCAATCCTTGAGTCTCAATTGTTTTCCCAGGGTTAAGATTGTTCACACTTCTGCTAAGTATGAGGGTCAGGTTTACATACCTGAGATCAACTTCATGCTTATGGTTGCTTGTGTAATCGTCACTTTGGCATTCAGGACAACTGAAAATATTGGGCATGCCTACGGTAAGCAACCAGGAAATTCAATTTCAGCAGCTCAATTTGATTTCTTAAAGAGCTTATAATTCATATTCTTGGGATTCAAAAATTCCTAATTCTCTTTTGAGAAAAAGTAAAAGATAGTGAAGGGTTGCCCTGCAGTTCCGAATAGTGGAGCTGCAGTGCTAAGAATGGCGCCTTACATGAGAGCTAAATTGATTCAAAACTAGTGTACAGTTACAGACTAGGCGTGGCCCTTCGTTTTTTTTTTATTTTTTGGCCTAGATTGTGCACGTCTAGTAGAATCGCACATGCCTAGTTGTGATTATAAATTATTGGTCTAGTTTGGATCGACAGGCCTCTGATCAATAGATTTCTCAAGATGTGATCTTCAGTTCACTCACACAGCCGGAAATTATGTCCTGTAAATTAAAATTAACAAACACAACATTAAGTTGCGGAGGGCTATTATTCAAGATATGCCTTTTCTCTATCACAAGTGAAATGAAAGACAAACTTCTCTGCATGCAGGAATTGCTGTGGTTGCTGTTATGGTTATGACAACCTGTATGGTTACACTTATAATGCTAGTTATATGGAAGGCAAGGGTGTTATCGGCAACTCTTTTCTTTTTTGTATTTGGTGCTATAGAGGTCGTTTATCTATCAGCTGTACTATACAAATTCAAACAAGGTGGGTACCTTCCACTAGCATTATCTTTTTTCTTAATGGTGGCCATGGGGACATGGCACTATGTGCACAGAGAAAGGTACCTATACGAGCTTAAAAACAAGGTCTCTAGTGAATATATCAGGCAACTGGCGGCAAACGCAAATATGAACCAGCTACCGGGAATAGGACTTTTGTACTCTGAGCTTGTCCAGGGCATTCCTCCAATATTCCCTCACTTCATTTCCAACATACCTTCCACTCATTCAGTTCTGGTGTTTGTTTCAATTAAGTCTATTCCAATAAGTAAAGTGGCAATCGAGGAGCGATTTCTTTTCCGACAAATCGAGCCACAAGAGTACCGTATGTTCCGATGTGTTGTGAGGTATGGATACAAAGATGCAATTGTGGAGTCTCATGTGTTTGAAAAGCAGCTGGTCGAACACTTGAAAGAATTCATCCGGCAGGAATACTTCATTCATGAAGCAGGCAACATTGAATCAACATTTGAACCAGAGAACATCCAACATTCCACTCTACTTGTAGAGAAGGATGGAACAGGAAGACCATCAACAAGAGTTCATGTAGAGGAACCACGACAACAGCCTAATCAGTCATTCAGCGCACCCCGTGTTTCATCAGGTTCCATCCGATCCATCAGTGGAATAAACTTGTCAAATTCTTCTGCTGGAATCGCATCTGCGCAGGTCTCTAAAGGTGCTGAAGACGAGATCCAGTTTGTACAAAAAGCCATGGAGAAAGGTGTGGTTTATCTGCTAGGAGAAACAGAAGTGGTGGCAGAACCAAATTCATCCTGGTTCAAGAGACTAGTTGTTAACCACGTGTATTCTTTCCTGAGGAAGAACTTCAGAACAGGGGAGAAATTTCTGGCAATCCCACGAACAAGGATTCTCAGGGTTGGAATGACATATGAGATATGATATTGTGCTTGAACTTTGGTGTGGAAAGAAAATGCGTGCGTGCATGGTGCCAGTACCAATGTATATTTGTATGATTGTTATCAAATGTAATACAAAAGAACGGCTCTAGATCGAGCCATTAAGATTGTATTTTAGTGAATCGGTCTTGCTACTTGTAATTGATTTTTCTTTTACCTTTCTCTCATAGAAATAAATGAATGAATTATTTCTCATCGCTAAGACAAGGTAAGCTAATTTGATAAAAGAATCTATTAACATTAGATTGATATATAATGTCATTGATTAACTGTATTACTGCAACCGATGAAGCTCGAAAGACTTCGTTGTATTTGAGCTTTCTTCGCGAATGATGAAAGGCTGAACGAGACTGCATTTAGGTAGATATTATGTAAAAACAGTGAATTAGAGATCCGAAAAATCTTGCTTCTCTCTTACTAAAACATGAAATATATAGTTGGAAAAACATGAAAAAATCTAGAAAAAATATTTTAGCTGCTAGAGGTGAAAATTCTTTTTTTTTTATTGTTATTCCATGTGGAATTATAGCTTGTAATAAATACCAAGAGAGAAAGAAAAAGGAGAAAGAGAAATAAAAAGAGAGAACTTAGTTGTTAAAAAACTATTTTACTAGAAAAACAAATGCAATGGGGAGCAACAAGTAATGGATGACATTCAAAAATATGCATGAAAAGTATGAATTTACTATAAGCATGTGCATGTAACATGTTGGCGGTATGTGCATGTTGTTGGCGTGTAGTACCAGGTTGATTGATACTGTGGCATTCGAACTTGATAGTTTTAGGATTTAAAGCATGTAGCTATCTTAGGGATCTTCATACACTTTTTGCATGGTTGTGCACATAGCTATGCTTCAGAATCTTGGTCTATCATAATAATCATCATATGATCTGATGGAATCATTACTATAATTGTCACAATTTTATTTCTAAATTTATAATGGACAATGTAAAAGTAGTGTCATAAAAGTAATGTCATAAGAACACTCCATCTATTTTAAGTTTTAGAATATATATATCATAAAATAAATTATATAAAATGAATTTAAACCCAACATTAAATGAATAATATCTTTTTTTCCTATATTTTCTTCCATATCCTAAATAGACACAAAGTCTCCACTCAATTGCATCAACTCTTGAAAATGTGTTAAGTCTCTTATTATTATTATTATTAAAAGAGACTAAAAGAATTAGAATTATTTTATTTTATTTTTTGTTATTACAAGACTTATATGCATTCTGTATTATGATAATGTATATACAATGTTTTCTTAGTTAATCAAGTTTTTCTTTTGTAATGTTTTAAATTAAAAAAGATAGAAAAAGACAACCAAGCCCTTGGTGGCTTAGAAGATGGTATAAATAAATTAGGGGTAGTGTAGTAATTGAATAGAGAGATGATAAATATAAATATTAAGTTAAAAAAAAAAAAGATCTGAAATTTTAAGAGAGCAAACCGGCAGGAGAGAAGGGAGGAAGAAGAAGAAGAAAGGGGAAAAATAAGGGAAAAAAAAAGAGATTGGGAGGAAATAAGTTTAAATGTAAGATTTAGATTGTTAAATGTATAAATATATGTTAATTGAACTTTAATTTTAGTTTTGATGAATGTTAGGGTTTTGAAAATTTATGTTTTAGGTTTAATCGATGAATTAAATTGAATGTTAGGGGTTGATTGTTATGGGTAATTGATTATTAAGTTAATTATGGAAGATTGTGATGATTTTGAGTTATGAATTGTGTAAATGGTGAATTTTAAGTTAGAAATTTAGAAAGAATAGTAGGTTTCTGTTGAAATTCTAGGGTGGAGGTTGAAGATGATGAAAATTCAATTTGGTCCCTCAATTTGTGAAAATTATGATTTAGTCCCCAAACTTTGAAAATTACAGATTGGTACCTGGAGCATATTCCAAGATTCTGAACAGAATAACATATGAATTCCGGGCAGAATTACTGTATAGTTAAGAAATTTTAAAACTTCAATTCGGTCCTTCAATTTGATAAAAATTACCATTTGACCTTAAAAATTAAAAAAAAAATCAAGAATGGTCCCTGGAGCATAACTAGAGGTTTTGGACAGAAATGAGGAGGAATTATGGACATAATTTCACTATAATCATGAATTTATGATATGTTAAGTTTGGTCCTTCAATTAAATGAAAATTATAATTTGGCCCTAAAAATATAATAAATTCTAGATTGGTCCCTAGCTGTAATATTAGCTTTTTTAGATTGTTTTGATGAATAAATGATATTTATTTAGTGAATTATTATCAAGTCTTATTATTTATTTTATTATAGATTAGCTTACGGGAAAACCGTTAAATTTTGGGTTTTTGAGAAAAATTAACTAATTAGTTCAAAAACATATAGGGTTACAGAATACACCCTTAGTTAAGTATATTAAATAGGTTAAATTTTCTTTTGAGTCGTTATTGAATATATCTACTTTGTATTCAGATAATCTTGATATTCAACCGGCAAGACATTAGTAAGATTTTCTTTGGTGTCTGCTTTGTGTTTAGATAATCCTGATATTCTACTGGCAGGATATCTGTAAGATTTTCTTCGATGTCTGCTTTTGGTTTTTGTTTGCTTTTGAGTCAAGTGGATGGATAATTTTGCATTTGTATGAGAAATATTATAAATATTTGATTTGTTAATATGAATTGGATCATGCTTCTTAATAATATATATGCTAATTATTTTTCTTATTATGATAAAGCATGATCAATTATTGAATCTGAATTTTTTATATGAACCAATATATATTTTAAATTGGCTTCTGAATTGATAGCTCCTCATTTGATTGATGTCATGAGTTGAGCATTGAGAAATAACTATGTTTGTTTAATTATGATTATGAACCTATGGTATGCCAGTCAAAATACCCATGCTAACAGAGTAGTGTTAGTCTTTGTGCACATTGTATCTGAACCCTAATTAGTCGGGGTAATCACCAACCTGTGTGGACGGATCATCACACAATACGGAGCCTCATGCTCATTGCATTCTGATTTTCTAACGAGCTTTACCTTATGATATTGTTGTTATGGCCTATTTGAGAAATCTTACTATAAGAACCTAAAGCCAATTGTATATATATTTCTCATTGTTGTATTACTTCATTTGTGTATATTGAACATTATCTATTATGAAATTAGTTTGTTGTTAATGTTGCGTTGAACTTTATTTGAGTTATTTAATAGATAAGTTTGTATGTAAGTTTAGATTCGCATAGGCATGGAATCTTGAAGGGAAACCTTGCCTATATGTCGGTGATAGAATCGAAAATTGGGTCGTGACATCTTTAATTTCATTTTTTTTCATTTTTGTTTATCTCAATCCTATCTCATAGTTTGTTTAATCTAGATTTGCATGGGACTCTCATGTTGTCATGGAAAAAATCGACATTGGGTTTAGAAAAAAAATTGATTTTTTTTATTTAAAATAATTAAAACTTCAAGGACAAAATTAAATCTTTCTATCAAGCACTCCTTTTAACAAGAAAAAAATAAGAAACGTTGTTGGCATGTGCAAAGCACGTGCTAAAGCATGGGAGAGGTCCTCACATTAAGGTAGCATGTGCGGCAACCGTAAGTGTTTGATTCAACCCTTTTATGTTTTTCAAAGTGTCACATCACATCCTATCTCCATGTGTTGTGTATTTCGATGGATGAGCTATGATGAGGCTCTGACAAACCTTTTTTCTTTTTTTTTCTCTCTCCTCATCTTGATTTTCATACTTACCACACTTCAAAAAACAAATTGGACTACCAAATTATTTTTGTATCAAATTTTATTCTTATTATTTTGATTGTTATTTTTATCAACTATTTTTTTATCAATTACATCATTCAATATTATATTTATTGGAAATTGAGCTTTTTTTTTAATTTTCATTTTATGAGGCAATCCTGGTCTTCTACCCTGACTTACAGGTTTGTCTAGATGACTTGAGTTTACTCGAGGTTTTTTATTTTTTAAATTCATCATCCAATATTAAGTTGGTTGGGAGTTAAGCTTCGTTAAAAAAAATTATTTTCCATCTATGAGGATATCACGGTTTGATGACTCGGAATACATGTTTAAATAGTTCACTAAGTTGACTTGGATATTTTTTTCAAGTCCTTTTTCTAGATTAAGTTATTTCTCAATTTTATTTTTTGGTATAAAGTTGATTTGAAATTGAAATTTATAATTTTTTTAAATTTTTTTTATAAAATTATTTTAATCTCATGACTCGAGATGCAGATTTAGCATATTAGTCTATATTCTCTCAAGTATTTGTTTGTCATTTTTTAAAATAGACTTATTTTTTTAATCTTATCCTCCTACAATAAGTTGATTAGGAATTGGGTTTCATAAATTCTTTCATATTAATTTGTGTAGGGTTAGCCTATTCTCATAACTCATGTCATGGATTCAAAGAGAAAACCTAGATTAAGCCTATTCTCATAACTCATGTTATAGATTCAAAAAGAAAACCTAGATTGGCTCTTGTTTTTTTTATCATTTTCTTTAAATGGATTTTTTTTTTATTGTCATCCTCAAACATTAGAGTGGTTGAAAATTGACCTTAGTAAAAAATAATAATTTTCTTTTTATGAATTAGAATACGAGTTCAGCATATTAGCATGCGTTGCCTCTAGTATTTTTTTAGTCATTTTTAAAATATATTTTTTCCAATCTCGTTCTCTAACACTAAGTTAGTTGAGAATTAATCTTTTTATTTTCTTTTAGTTTGCTTTCTTTAAGGTTAGTTAATTTTCATGCTCTGTGTCGCGGGTTCAAAGGGATAGCCTAGAATGACCCATGTCTTTTTATATCTTTTTTTTAATTGAATGTTTTTTTTTTTTTTTCATCTTCAAATATTTGGTTTGTTAAGAATTGGCCTTTGTAATTTTTTTTAATTTTATTTCTATAGGGTTTTTTTATTCTTACTACATGTGACGTGGATTCAGTCGGTTTACTCAAGTTGACTCGAGCCTTCTTTTTTATCCTTTTTTATAATAAAAAATTCTTAGTC